GTACCCCTAGTACCCCTAGTACCCATAGTAGCCCCTAGTACCTCCTAGTACCCCTAGTACCCCCTAGTACCCCCTAGTATCCCTAGTACCCCTAGTACCCCCTAGTACCTCCTAGTACCTCCTAGTACCCCCTAGTACCCCCTAGTACCTCCTTGTACCCCTAGTACCCCCTAGTACCCCCTAGTACCCCTAGTACCTCCTAGTACCCCTAGTACCCCCTAGTACCCCGTCACTTGATTTTGCTCTGATTTTTTTCATCAATGCCGTCGACATATTTAGAATTGCTCGGTTATTATATTGCTTTGATATATCATTTTTGAAAAGAATAGTATACCATGATAACATATGGAGATGAAATAAAGAAAATATAATCAATTACTTGTTAAACCATTGCTGAAACCGATTAAATTATACATACTCAGCAATATTATTCTTCACTCGAACAGATTCTAGTACGCCCGCCCCTACAAGTCTCTGTTTTGTTTTTGGTTTTGTTTTGCTCTACAAAATTCACTTTCTCTATGTATACTGACTCTGATATTGGGTATAGGTAATATGAGTGACAACATATATATATATATAGGCATTACTAGATGCAACTATAGATATATATACTTGGCCTTTCCCTGTATATAGGGAATAGAGAGGAACTATTTACCGCACGGGATGTGATGGGCACTTGAAACTGTGTAGACAAATTATTATTGTTACATATAACGGAAAGGGCTTTTAATAACTTGTGCACAATCCCGCTGCTATTTTAAGGCAACAAAATACGTTGGATTAAAAAATCGAACTGATTAAGCCACCAGGACACCGGAAGTGTACGAGCCAAAATGTGCTACAGTTATATCCAAAACGGTAGTAAGGGGAGGTTACCGTATGTAGAGGAAAAAACCGACAGGGCAGTGGGACATAAATCCTTAAGTAAACAAATGCATGCACTTGTGAAGTTGCCATGGAAACCTGTTCCGTAAGCATTGCCGAGTGGATAGGAGGGAAACATCTAGCGGGGCCTGACGCTACAACTAAGTAACATGGACGTTTGTATAACCGCGAAAATATTATCCGCAAATGTTAAATGTCATCCAGTATATCATGGGGTTTCGTAGATTTTTTGGAAAGTTAATACATGTATGTTCAACTAGTAGTATTAATCTATTTTCATTCTACTTTATGAAACATTGCTCTACAAAAACGTACGTATGGCATGAAGACCCGTATACTAGACAGTGGACTATATACACAATTCTTTTTATGTGGGTCAGTATTTCAACCTTCTAAACACTGAACACGATAAAGAAAAATTACATCCTTTTAATATTTTACAACTTATATCTAAGCTTCAGATTTCGAAACACTGTAAGTCAAATCTTAAGTGAGCATGACCACAAAATCCGAGCACTTGTTATTTCTCGGTACGAGTTGTAAGGGGCGTGCTACAGCACTTCGTATGTATAACGACCAGAATAAAGTACTACTAATTACAGTAGAGGGCAGTCGGCGGTGAATTAAATGATGCGGTTAACATGCCCCATTATAATCACTTTAAGTTTGGCTCTAGCTCAACGAGTAAGTCTGATCAGATGGTGGTGAAGGAGGAGGAAGCTGCATTGGTGTGACCCCTCGTGTTCTCTCAGTTAAATAAGAAGGACTTGCGTCAATCATCAACGTAGCACACTCGTCCTAAACTTAAAACCATGTAGGCTAATGTCACTCAATTATTATTTTTTTATTCGTTATTAGATATTAATGCCTTCGGTGATGTTTTTGCAGTATATAGTTGTATACAATGGAAGATGGTGGACACGACAGGGATTCCCAAGGGGAGGATTCGGACCAGTATTCCTCTGTGACGAAGTCCGGAGGGATAGAGGAGGAAGGGAGCGCCGATCACCTAACACAGCTTCTGGAGATCCATGAGGGAGGTCGTCCGCCGTCCCCTGGGAGTGTCGGGGAGGAGGAGAAGCAGGAATATGTGGTCCCAGACAGAGGATGGGGATGGTGGTGTGTATTAGGTTGTGCGCTAGCACATTTTGTTACGAGTAAGTAAAACTTCCAAGCGGTTTGACTTTTTATTATTTCTTTTTGTGTAGATCTCCATTTTTATCCTGCGAATATCGGCTATTTGCTCCAATCGGGAACCGTCAACGGCATTTTCCTTAAACGAGAAATAATATAACCTATGGCACTTTACCATAAACCAGAAGAATATATTTGATTTCTCGTTTACGGAAAGTGCCAACGGTTCCCGATGGCGCTTCGTTGTAGCAAAAGCGAAGCGCCGCCCTCGCGTAGAGTAGCAAAACAAGCCAATTCGAAACTTGGCCGAAAGTACACGACCTTGGGTATATACAAAAGTAATAATAAAATTCCACGACTTTTGTTCTGTACCAGTTAAAACAGTTTCATGATCCTGGATCCATACCAGTTTATACCAGTAATGATAGTTTCACGACCTTTGATCTATACCAGTTATAATAGTTTCACGACCTTGGATCTATACCAGTTATAATAGTTTCACGACCTTGGATGTTTACTAATTATGATAGTTTTACGACCTTTGGTCATAGATATGTACATGTTTTAATGGTTTCACTACATTAAAATTGTACCGGATCGGCCCCACTGTCTGTTTGGAATTCAATTCGATAAGCAAAGTTAGTATACTTTTTATAAATACAAAGGCTAACCGAATGGTCTACATCTGACTGGTCAATTCATCAGCTTAACGTAAATCGTGTGTCCGAGTGAAGTGGCATACTTACGCTAAGTTTGCACTGTAAAGTAGCCCCATTAAGCCAAGTGGACACCAAAGAACCTTTAAATGTTTATTGTGATGATTTTAAGCATGTGACAGAGTGGAAGTAAGTTTAAACAGGATTGTTCCGAAACGTAATCTTTTCCCGGTTGGATAGGATAATGCCATACTGATCTATTTTTGTTGTTGCGAAAACACTTCACTAGATACTAAAGACAACGCTTTCGTCTGTTTCAGGCGGAATGGAGAGGTCGGGCGGGGTCATTCTCCTTGAACTCCAAGAAAGATTTGAGTCGGGAGCCGCGGCTACTGCTTGGGTTATCTCCCTTAGTGCGACCTGTCGTCTTTTATTTGGTATTGAATAAATGTTTTGGTGTGAATACTGATACGTGCATTTTATGTCTATTTGAATATTTATTAACCGCTGTGTGTGCCTTAGAAGTCTTATAAAGTCAATGCTTGATAAAACCTCCAAGTGTAATGCAAAATTTGAGTCCCGGGAAGTTCAACTGAGAAGACCAAGTATTCCAAATCAATCGTCCGCCAAAAATAACTGATTACATTACGTTGATTTGATTTATTTTTCAACCCGGAAATGACGTAAAATGTGTGTGTTACAGGCCCAGTAGCCAGTATCCTTAGTAACAAATACAGCTGTCGGACCGTGGTCATCGTTGGGGGTCTGCTGGTTTCTATTGGAGTGTTCGTGAGCGGATTTGGACCAAACATCACCTTTCTGTATTTCAGCTATGGACTGTTTTGTGGTAGGTAAATATACTGCATTCGCACAAAAATTGACGTATCTGTAATTGCAATGACGTCACTGTATACATATATTAGTTTCAATGTGTTTGTTATAACGGTGCCGTCATTGTATTCTTACCAGAAATTATTGACAGGTTTGTGATACTTTTGACGTCATTGTATTCACAAAAGGGATATATGTAAAATTATTGAAAGGTTTGTGATGCTTTTGACTTCATTGTATTCACAAAAGGTATATATGTAATTACTGACGTTGTTATAACATACATGAAATAAATCATATTAGGTAGTATTAGCAGGTCTCAATACTCATTTACACAAAGCTGCACTTACTTGTTTGTATCAACGACATCAAGCGTATTCATGTCTTGTGTTCTCTACATACACATAATTCATGTGTAGTATCAACGACATCACGTGTACATGTATTCATATGGTATGTCAATGACATCACGTGTATTCGTGTGTTATATCAGCGACACCAAGTGTATGTATGTGTAGTATCAAAGACATTACGTATGTCAAAGACATAAAGTGTGTTCATATGAAGTATTGTAGACATCACGTGTATTCATGTGTTTTATCAAAGACATTAAGTGTATTCATGTGCTTTATCAATGACATCAAGTGTATTCTTGTGTTTTATCAAAGACATAAAGTGTGTTCATGTGCTTTATCAATGACATCGAGTGTATTCATGTGTTTTATCAAAGACATAAAGTGTGTTCATGTGCTTTATCAATGACATCAAGTGCATTCATGTGTTTTATCAAAGACATAAAGTGAGTTCATGTGAAGTATTATAGACATCACATGTATTCATGCCAGGTAACTAATCAGAACAAACCCATCGACACATATGGGACATACATCACATGTGTCATTGCATACTTTTTTGGTAGGTTTGGGGAAGTCCTTAGCATACACCCCCGGGCTGGTGATCGTCGGTCAGTATTTTAAGAAGAAACGTGGCTTAGCCGTGGGCCTGGCTACAGCCGGCGGCGGGGTCGGAACTCTCCTGATACCTCCAGCAATCAACCGTCTGTTCAAGGAACTGCGATTTACTGGCGCCATGATGATTTTGTCAGGATTGGCTCTTCAGCTGTGTATAGCTGGCTGTCTGTACATGCCACTTGAAAAATACCGCGCATTATGTCTGCGCAGGACTGCAGACCCGTGAGTACAGCTAACGTGTATTTCTGTTAAAATAAAGGACAACATATCCATGGTTAGTTGTGACGTGTATCTCTGTTATAATAAAGGACAAGAGATTCGAGTGATCCATGGTTAGTTGTAAGTGTATTTCTGTTACAATAAAGGACGAGAGATCTGTCGTTAGTTGTATCATATGCAATCCTCAAAGTTCCTTGTTGACCTCACTTACGTTCTCAGCACTCCTTAAATGTAAAAACAAAATGAATGCACGCGGTAAGCTATTTGATTGGTTTCAGGTAAAAAAAAACCACACTGACCTGTCGCTGGGCTGATACATGTCCTTTAATTGAATATTACAACAGAGCGGCCTCTAACTTCAAAGTCGACGAATGCTACCATTACGCTACCGTGCGATTCTTTGGTGGACATCAAAGGATCAAGCTAGTCTGATTGTATTATCCACACGGTAGCCGTACAAAGCATTTGATTTATTTTATCATGACATATTACAGGGGATCAGAGAACGCCAGACAGGTACCATGTAATTCATTGTTCTGATTTCATTTGTTGCATATGATACTTTATAAAATGTCGAAAATATCAAGTAAGTAATTTTATTTCGGTAATTTTGTGTTTTAGGAATGCAACCAAGCGACTGAGTCTTCAGAATGACAAAGATACAACGGTACTTCACTCAAACCCCAAAACCAAATTTTCTCTGTTGGGGATTCTAAAATGTACTCTATGTTCACATGAAAATGCTGTTAAAAGTCCACAACAGGAAACAAAGAAAAAACTTATCGACTGTAGCCTACTGAATAATCCGTTATTCACCTCGTTGTGTATCGCCATCTTGTTTTTAGCACTTGCTTTCAGTTCGGTACTTGTTTTCATTCCATCCCTGGCCGATTTCATCGGTCTAACACGCCTACAGGGGGCGTTCATTCTGTCCATAGCTGGTATTTTTGACACGATTGGTCGCCTAGTGTCCGGAGTCGTCCTAGATGTAGAACGAGTGAAGAAATTCCGGATGTTGGTGTATAATAGTGCAGTGTTCCTGTTGTCCACCCTGACATTCGTTCTCGCTTACGTTACCACGTTTGTACAATTAGCGATTATTGCGGCTCTGTATGGACTTCTTATTGGCACCTACACTTCTCAGAAGACAGTGATACTTGCGGATATTTTAGGATCCGGTGCATTGTCCAGCTCGTTCGGAATTCTGATATGTTTCCAGGGAGTCGGAACTCTTCTTGGTCCACCAATTACAGGTAAGTTACATGAAGGAGAGGAGGAGGATGGCGCCAGCGTAGTCACGTGATTAAACTTAAACAAAAATTCATAGATATCAACACACCTTTTTGTAGCACGCTATCAGCACGTGCACGACACCGCAGTGTTACCTCTGTTTGTAGGATGTCATAATTTGTCCTTAATTGTTTCGTCGGTTATTAGTAACTTAAATGAGTTCTGTATTACCTCGTTCCAAGAAGACTTCTTATGGTTCATACAAACCATTTTCAAGAACATATATTTACGTTTATAGTTTAAAAAAACATTTTGGTATTAATAGATGTTTAAACGAAGAAATATCTTCCCGTTCATATGTCCTATCACGAAGACACCATGACGTTGATAGATCCTTTTCTACCAAGATATCTTGGCATTCATAGATGCTCGTCATGAATAAATCCTGTCGTTCATATATGTCAGTTACAAGAACACGTCTTTACAGTCATAGCTTTATAAAAGACGTTAAGTGTTGATGGTTGTTTTTTGCGAACATATCTTGGTGCTCAATGATTCAAGTTTCAAGATGAAATCATGATGTTTATGCATGCCTGTTTTATTGGCGTACTGTTTTCACGAAGATTTCTTGGCGTTTCATAGAAGCTTTTCACGAAAACCTCTTGGTGTTCATGGATAGTAGATACCAGTTTGATAAAGGCATTTTAGTGATAATACATACTTTTCGATATCTTGGTGTTCAAAACGAAAGTTTTAAAAGCCATCATAGGGTTTATTGAAGGTTTCACGAAGAAATCTTCAAAATCCAGTTTCAAGAAGACAGTTTGGAGTCTTTTAACGAAAGTACCTCGCCATGATTCATAACTTAATGAAAAAACATTTTCAAGTCATCTTTTTATTCATTTGTAGGCTTTCTGAAGGACAATTTGGACTCCTTTGCAGTAGGATTCTATGTAGCTGCTGCCATAAACTTTCTCGGTGCTTTGATTTTGCTTACTGGCAATATTTATCAATACACCAAAACTAGCAAACGTACGAAAACAGACAATTTGGAAATGGATGACGCTTAGTCATTTTTGTTTTGTTTTGTTTTGTCAGGGGAATGACTACATGGCTAAACCGGTGCATTCGGTGTATTTATCGTACACCTGTTGTATAGTCGAGTTGATTAGTTCCATTATATATCCAAGGAATTAACGTATTACCGGACGTGAACGTTTGAAATTTTGAGATTTTCATATTGAGATTACTACTTAACGATAAACTTTAAATAATACTGAAATTATTTCTAACCTTATCTGACTTAATTTCAAATAAAACTTGATAGGCAGAGGTCTTTATTGACAAGAAATATAGTTCTAGTATTTTATTTCGAGTAATGAGATAAATGTCGCTTAATGATCGTCTCAGCAAATGTCGGAAATTCTACATTTGTTGGACGCCATACCACTTTATAATAATTACATTGGCGATAGCTGGCTGTTGGCTGTTCCGTTTATTGAAGATCTATCTTAGATTTGAAGAATACATACGAAATTTATGTATTGAATGATTGCAAAATTTCATATAAATATGGATACAAACATTGAACTATAGGACGTTCATATTTACACTCGTTTATTTCCAACAGAATTGCCGACAAAATGCATACCGTGCTATCATGCTTAATTTGATTTGTCTGTAATCCTGTACATAATTCTACGAATGCAACTGCAACATCACAGACCTAAGTATTTGATTACCAAGGGATGAAGACAATTGTAGACACACGTTCAAGTTGAACACGTCAAATGAAAAAGAACAGAGAGGATAATAGTTACAGTAATGACACCGGTAATAATATCAACTTGTCTGTACAAGTATACCATGATGAAAAACGTTAAAATGATATTGAGATATCACAAATATGAATAAATGAACAAGTTACGCATATGAACAAAACGTTCATGCTGGCAATACAACCCATGATATCGATTTTAGAATTCCGAATGCTGCATCCGATACTACATTGTCAGTACGTGAATGAGATTCAATGAATTAAACAACATCAACACGATTCCAAACGTCCACGATTGGTCAGGCCGAGCGTGACACTGTCATGTAAGTTGCTTGTATCGACATTTTTTTTTTTATCTCGCGTTACAGTGCACGTGACCGAACGTTATACGTTGCGCATAACTTCCCGCACTATAGCCTGCATACGTGATTTACTAGTTAACGGCTTCGAGGCTTCACACAGAAATACAGGTGTTTTTCCTGGAAGAACATCTCTAGGACTTCCGAATGTACAATGTATCTGACTAAACAATCAAACTGATTAAACGAAGTTTGATTCACCAATCCTACTTTGAAAGCATTATTACTGTATAACAAAGCAAACTGACTAATCACAGATTAATACAGCAATATCAATCGTATAAGAAACACTATATACTGAAAAATCATAGATAAGTGAAAATTTAGATTAGTACACAAATAAGGATAGCTGTCATTCAACAAGACACTAAAACTATTCCTTTTTATTATGTTTTCTTTTATAAAGACATGGGTATACGTGAAAAGAAAGTACATTTCCCGCTAACAAAAATGTCGAGAAAAGAAAAGTTCACAATATGTAAACGTCAGGTCTATTGTGGTGTTATCCATTGTTGCTGTTAACCATGCACTCTGATTTGTCGGTTTAGCGTGAAAGTAACAAATAGGTGTTTTGAGTGCCACATAGGGGAAATTTCAATACTACTTTTACCGTAATATAATCATACATATAGCACACGACCAAATACTGGTACTGATTGAACATTCGTACTGATTAAACATAGTTTCTGACGAAACACATACATCACACGACCAAATACTGGTACTGATTGAACATTCGTACTGATTAAACATAGTTTCAGACAAAACACATATAGCACACGACCAAATACTGGTACTGATTGAACATTCGTAATGATTAAACATAGATTCTGACAAAACACATATATCACACGACCAAATACTGGGACTGATTGAACATTCGTACTGATTAAACATAGTTTCTAACAAAACACATATAGCACACGACCAAATACTCGTACTGATTGAACATTCGGACTGATTAAACATAGTTTCTGACAAAACACATGTAGCACACGACCAAATACTCGTACTGATTGAACATTCGTACTGATTAAACACAGTTTCTGACAAAACACATATTCCGTCTTTGCGTATTGCAGAGTTATCTTCTCTTGGGAACAGGGATTGATTGTTTCGTCACTTGTTTTTGAGAGGAACGTCATCCAATTTTGAGAAAAAAAACGTAATTTCCCCGCACAAAACAATGACGTAACAATAAATCCCTGCTCCCAAGAGAAGATAACTCTGCAATACGCAAAGACGGAATATCACACGACCAAATACTCTTACTGATACGGATGAAACACTAAACAGGCTAAACTATCATATAGACTCAACACTTTAAATAAATAATCATACTAATTAACCAATTATATTGGCTTACAGGTCGACTGTCTATAAATCTGTAGCACACTGAATAGTTATACAGATTTAATCATGTAGACTAAATACTACAGAGATAATGAATAAACACTCACAATGACTTGTCAATTTTAATGACTTAACAATCAAACCAATCTAAAAAGGCTAACACAGGTATTAAATACCTTCACACATATTTAAAGATAAACGCACCTACTTGAGCCTTCATACAATCTAGACAGTCTTAAGAGTGACTTAACAGTCATACTAAGTAAATAGATACTAATATCTCATTAATGACTTCATATGATGCTGCAACTAAACCCTGGCTTACATTTTATCCAGGAAAAATCTAAATAATTCAAGCAATCAAATGCATTATTATTGTTCATTTCCATCGATCTAATCTGTGATTGGTTCATTACAGAATAGCTTAACCAGGAAGTAAACAACATTGGTGGACCCTTTGTGGTAGGTATCCTTTAGATGAATGGCTAATAAAGGCTTTGGTAGGTCATTGATCCGAATCGTTGGAAATCATGTATTTGTATCTTTAACATAAAATCAGGTAATATTTCACCAACACGACACAGCATTGATATCACAGCTTGAGTGAATCTCGATCAAAGAGTGGACCTTTTTGCTGTTTCAACGTTCCAAGTTTCTAAAGATGTCCAGTTTTGATAACGGCACCAACGTTACGGAAACCAAATATGTGTTACCTGTTGGCGTTTATATATCGGATACAATTTTCTTTTCATATGGAATACTTTTCCCGGTATTGGCGGTTTTCGGATACTTTGGAAACATATTGACAGCCATAGTGTTATGGAAAAAAGAAAAGGCGTCAGTAAATGACATTCTTCTCCGTGTCCTGGTACTCTCCGATATTACATTGGTAACAGGAGGTCTCCTTGGTTTAACTCTTCCTGTGTTGTTATCGACAGTTTTAGTCAATGGTTATCTAGTAAATGCTTTAGAACTTAATATCTCTGATTATGTAATGCTGACGTCACAACAATTCAATGTGTACATTCTTGTGTTAATATCTGTTGAGCGATACATAGCTATTTGTCATCCGTTGAAATGCGTCAACTTCAGAAGTAGAGGAAAGACGATTGCTCTCATATTAGGGATTGTCTGTTTTTCTATTGTTTACAACATTCCGCTATTATTAGCATATACAGACAATCCTTTTACATGTGTTAACATGACGTCATCTTTCACATGTTTTAAAGTATTGTATACAGAGTTCGGCAAAAGTTATTTCTTCCAGGAAGTGTACTTAACATGGTTATATGGTGCGACATACTTTGTTCTCCCTCTTACTTTGCTGTTAGGACTGAATATTTTCATTATAAAGGAGCTGGCAAAAACGAGGAAGATACGATTAAACCTTGGCGTGGTCAGATCACCTAAAACCAAAAACGACAGCATTACTCTCAGTCTTGTTATAATCATTGCCATATTCATGGTCGTGCAAACCCTTGGAGTTTTACCCCGGTTTGCGCAAATGTTCGATTGGACCGTATCGATCTCCTTTTCAGTGACTATAAACACATTGTATCTAACGAACTCTTGTATTAATATCTTTATTTACGTGTTTGTGGGAAAGAAGTTTAGAAAGAATGTCATTGAGATGTTCAAGAAGTGTTTCCATTGTGCCTCAATTTGTTCTACTTCATCTGAACATTATCAAGTTTCAGAGCTTCATGATTTGATAATTTAAATGCTTGTTTCTGAGGTAGAATTATAAACCAAGTATGATATATGTGGACACATTATGTTTATCAATATGGCTTCAATAATAATGTATTGTTTGACTTTAGCACATTTCAGTTTTGTGCAATTATAATGAAGTTTACGTTCCTTTCCCATGTTATATTTTTTTTTTGCGCATTGTTTCGGACAGTTTTCATTGGTTGATTGACTTATTTGTTAGTTAACACACAGGAATGTTTGAAATTAATTTCTTATACTACAGACATATTTATATTTTAGACAAATGTTCATTTCTGGATATGAACAGCTAACATAACTGTTTTCTGATCCAGAGAAAAAATACATAACTGTTGAAATCGTAAATGAAATATTTCTACATGGGTTATTTGGAGAAATAAAACTTTGTCAAGTATTTTTTGCTTGTATCAACACGTTATTAACTCTTTATGATATAAAGGGACTCCTTAAAAAAACTCTCCTGTTGAAGCTTTCAATTAGATTTCTCCTTTTTATTTATACATTCAGCTTGACACATCAAATAATTCGTGGGAATTTGTTTGTATATAAACAATTTCTTTGCTGCGTCATGAAATAAAGTCAGTCAGGTTTTTACAGATTTTGGTAAAAAGTTAAAATGTATAAAATGCACCATGCTTGTATTCCCGTCTCTATAAAAGTGTATTGATGCATTCAAATTGTTAAATTACTGAATAGCTAAAATATAATGTATAAGCTACACTGTAAGTGAAACTAAGTGAAGCGGTGATGGCAACAAAATATACCGGTCATGATTTCTAGAGGAAGATATGCTAAAACTTGATGGGATGAGTCGACATGTAGATACATCACTCGAAAGCTAGCTAGCAAGTAATGCAATATTTTGCTTAATACTCCTTTGTTCTTCGCAATCTCCCCTCCACTTCCGAGAAGGAACTTCTCGAGAATTAACATAGGTAAATATTTGGGTCCGCCCTGTCCACCAATGCACCTTCAATATCCACAAGGATCTAGCCTTAAAACATACCCAGGCTCACGACGCTGCCTCCGAAGCGGAATGAAGGTAACCGAGTAAAAGTAAAGGACTTTCATATTCTTCTAGACATATCTTTAGTACTCAAAATGTTGCGCACGGGTAGGAGGAATGTTATAGTGGCATAATAATATAATATGCACTGTGTAATTTTACCGGAGTTGCAAACACTCGTGGCCAGTGTTGGTAGTTACGTTGATTTCGCTACCCTTATGTACACAAAAGTTACTGCACTGTGTAGAGTATTATCTTTGCAACTAAGAAAGGGGTTAAAAGTTGCATTATTTATTACAATTTCCTTTTATGAAACGAGTGCGTTTAAGTAGTAAAATATCCATTTAATGTGTGGGTATTGAGGTTTCGGTGAGTAAGTACTAAGTATGATGTATGAGATAATGCTATTAACATCTTTCCCGATAACGATATGCATTTAAATCCTTGATCTTATTGCTATCGCCCGTTTCTCTAAATAAGTGATTGTAAAGAAACAGATGACAACATTTCCATTTCCTTTCTTTAATCTTTTCGACTTGGGAAGCCTCAATCGTGAAATGTCTTCTCAGCATCCCAGATACATGTGCAATTCTGGTATCTGGGAACTTGAATCATAGGCAAAAAGAACAATTTGACCGGAGCCACATCACATTGCCTTCTCTTACTGTAACCCCCCCCGCATGAAAAGGTATCGGGTCAACTACTTGAACATGGTTTCCTCCGGATTCCTCAGTTTCCGCCAACATTAAGAATAACTGTGCGCGCCCATCCATGCTATCATTATAACGATAAGTTAATGAATTTGTTTTTGAAATTGCTATGAGATAAATACAGTTTATATTCATACGATCAACGTATTCCTAAAAATACCCGTACAGATAACATATCTGTGCCTTTTTGTAATTATGGACAGCTTAAGGATTTTTTCTCTCAATCCGATTTGACCAAAAAGTTAGCCTATATCCATGTACCATTAGGGGTTTGTCCTTCATTAATAACTGAAGCGTTATCCCCTGCAGAATCGGGGGGGTTACTTCCTTGTCTTCTGTTTAGACCTGCATTGGTATCGTACGAGGTGGCTCTAATGTGTGACCCCTGAAGGAAGTAGAAGACCCCCCCCCCCCGAAGGATCGGGGGTTGGAGGGATGGGGGGTTCTTCTACTAAGAGGACATTGAAGAGACAAACAATGATATACTGTCCCCTACTGCACCACTTCGGATCTTTTTCGTTTCCAATCTTTCCTGCCTTCGTTCTTTTCTATCTACTTTCTCCTTCCGGCGCTGTCTCTCTAGACATCTGTCCTTATATGACACTGATTGTTGTCTCCCTAGACACCTGTCCTTATTTGACCCTGGCTGTTGTGTCCCTAGACACCTGTCCTTATTTGACCCTGACTGTTGTATCCATAGTCACCCGTCCTCATATGACCCTGGCTGTGGTCTCCCTAGAAACCTGTCCTAATTGACGTTGGCTGTTGTGTCTCCCTAGACACCCGTCCTTTTTTTGAGCCTGGCTATTGTCTCCCTAGACACCCATCCTTTTTTGACCCTGGCTGTTGAAAGGACGTTAAACCCCTAGCAAACAAACAGTGGTGTTTGTTAGATAGTGATATCGCATCAACATATCGATCTCTGATAACATTCTCTGAATCTTGATAACGACACCGGCAACTGTAAACAAACATTACCTTGATCAACCCCGTTTTCCGAACACGCAGGAAAATTACAATACATGTTAGTTGATTTGACATTAATAATGTAAATGGGACAAGTTATATAGGGCGTATTGTCAGTGCTGGTACTGATTAAACGAGGTTGAATGGCCTACACAAACATACTGCAAAAACTACTGTGAAAGTGGGCAGTCTCGCAAGTGAAAATTTTCGCGTTTTGACTCTTTAAACTTATCGCGGTGTGGGAATTTTCGCGTAGCCAAAGATACATTTTATGTTTCTTACATATGTTAGTGTGGATATTTTCGCGCTTTATTCAACATTTCCACACCGCGAATATTTTAAACTTTTATAGAAACAAATGAAACTTAAGCGTTTTGATCATTTTTATTTTTATCAAAATGTTTTAGCCATAGGTTTATGCCATTGCAGTAAGTACATTATTTAGCCACGTGTTTTTGCCATTGCAATCAGTTCATTATTAAGCCACGTGTTTTTGCCATTGCAATTAGTCCATTATTTAGCCACGTGTTTTTGCCATTGCAGTAAGTACATTATTTAGCCACGTGTTTTTGCCATTGCAATCAGTACATTATTTAGCCTCGTGTTTTTGCCATTGCAGTAAGTACATTATTTAGTCACGTGTTTTTGCCATTGCAGTAAGTACATTATTTGGCCACGTGTTTTTGCCATTGCAATCAGTTCATTATTTAGCCACGTGTTTTTGCCATTGCAGTAAGTACATTATTTGGCCACGTGTTTTTGCCATTGCAACCAGCACATCATTTGTTACATCACGTTTCATTAAAAGTAAGCCTTAAAATATAATAATATCAAATGTGGGTATGGTCACAAACGAAATCTTTCGACTTCTAGACGCGGACAACATTATTATAACTGAAATAAAGATTTAGATGCCATTTAAATATATTCATAAAGCTAGCTTATAGCACAAAATCGGACACAAGATACACGACGGTCGTTGACTATAAGAAATATGTTTCCTAACAAAAAAATAAATGAAAAAAAGAAAAGGTAATCCATATTCAACGACTTGATTTCAAGCATGATAGTGTGTTTGATTATCGAACAGTATGCCTAATGATGCAAAACCATCGTGAATATTTCAAAAAAGCTCCGGCTCTGTAAGTTTTAGTAACTGGAAAACATATCTTTGAGGGTCATGTTTATATATTGTTTGTATATGAAAATCTTGATTATTCTGCAAAATACAGCTGGTTGATTCCTCTACGGCCCATCGGTGGTGCAAGGGGCCTTAACGGTTGGATATCCAGATACCAAACTCTAACTGTTGAAACAGAGGGGAATGTGGAAAAAATCCTTTTAATTGTGAAACTCAAACAATTGAAGCAGAACTGGTTTAATTTCAAATGTATAATAAATAAATGATATTATGAACTGTGTCACAACTTAAAAGAAATATTTGCGGTCATCAATGTTACGGTAAACTTCGGGGACTAAGAAATCCACCACCCGAGTCATATAACATAGTCATAGTAACATGATAAAATACGCATGCATAACACCTAGAACAGAGTGGAGGCGTAGTCCACTAAAACGTTATTTTTTTAAATAAATTTCGTTCAATCTAAATACAAACTTAAACAGTGTAGAACATTTTACCAGATTGATCACAGTAGTATTGCATGTTTAGACATTAACACTCCTTTGTTTATGACGCTTTTCTGGATATCGCGCCATGAATAATTGTAGGCTGTTCCTATGGAGTTTTGTAATCGCCTGCATTGTTCGTATTAATAATATTAATGGTATAGCCTATCGTCACACTAGGGAATGCCTGTGTACAAGGCGCTGAACCCAGTTAATGGATAATAGTTCGTAACATGATATAGCAAAGGCGTGTAATCTCACAGGACACCGATTAAAATGCAGACATTTATTAGAATTCACTCAAATTACGATTGATCAATTTTGTGACGTAGAAAATATCAGATATATTTGACAGTCGAATATGTTTTTCCAATTGTCAATCCTCAAAGGTACAATTCTATGAGAGATGAACTAAAGCTGCTGAGCTAAATTACCAGTGCAGTGGTTACTGCAAAAACGGAAATTTTAGTGGTCTGGAAACACTTGCGTATTTTCGCGTTGAGTAAATGTACGCGTAAATAATTATCAACGACAATAGAATTAGATATATTGATTTCAGAATCATTGCCAGCTCGAATCACAATTATGTATTTTTGTGATGTAAAAAATATCAGATATATTTCACTGTTAAATATGTTTTTCCAATTATCAATCCTCTTAAAAGGTACGGTCTATGAGAGATGAACTTAAGCTACTGATATAGATGATCAGTGCAGTAGTTACTGTGAAAACGGAAATTTCCGTGGTGTTGATATGTTCGCGTTTTTCGCGTTGAGTATATAGAGTTATATTGATAAACTTAAATCACCCTATAGACATATCATACGCAATTGTATTGATACTGAACTGTGGAATAAAATTGTTTGTTAAAATTTCAAAGTACTTCTTTGTTTGCCAATCAGCACGCGACAATACGCTGTTCAAACTATTGAACGAAATTGTGTGGACTGTCGATAAGGCGGGCATTTGTTTTAATTTTAATTTTAGATATACAATAATAAGTTAAAAAAGAACATTAGAGGAAGAGAAAAAATAAATATAAGTATTGAACTGTTTTTGTATGGTATATATGATCTATTTG